ATCAGAATTTGAGATCAATGAGACACCACCTAGTGCCAGAACCTTACTTACCAAGGCTACACACAGGATGAAATTAATTCGTATTCAGGTAAATTTTTATTTGTTTTGATCCATACTGTACAGTTTTTATATAAATGTATTGATGTTATGTATTATGTATTAATCCATAGGAGCAACCGTATCGACACGAGGGCGTTTTATGACAGAACAAGAAAAGTTGCGTTGCCCAAATGAAAGACCATTGTATCTTTATATACAAGGACATACGAAACATAATGTTGATTGTATGTATTACATTATTTTTTGTCTTTGATATTGATAGATTTGTATAAATATTTTATTTTACAGTGGCAATACAGAAAATTAATGAAATTATCAAAACGGAACATCAGAGTTTTTTAAACAGACCAAGCAGATTTACGAATGCTCCACCACCTCTTATGAGCTTGCATTCTGGAGTTACAAGCGTAGTAAATAATCCTTTTTCATATTTTACTTACAATTGCAACGAGCTTTGTTATGTGCTATATTGATTGATATTTACAATTTACTAGGAAAAGATTTGCGTTGGTATTGAGAATGCACCACAAGGTTTTGACTTACGTGGGCGAATATTAGGTATTGGCGATGCAAATTTAGTTTATATCAAAGGCGAAACTGGAGCGAATGTAACTTTAAGAGGTAGAGGATCTCAGTTTATTGACCCAGTTTTGGGAGCAGAATCTCCAGAACCGCTTCATTTGTATATAGAGTAAGAATGAGATGTTGCATAATAATTACAATTATAACCAGATAAACAACAATTTATAAAATACCGGTTTTTTTTTAGACATCCAAAGCCAGAAGCACTACAAAATGCTAAGCAGTTAGCTATTAATTTAATACAAACGATACAGTCCGAATTGCAAACTTATATTCAGCAACAACCGCCACCGGTACAACCACAGCAAGTTATAGAACAATCACAAATACCACAAAGTGTGTATTTATTGCCGTTAATTTTAAAATTAAGATAGGCAGTGTAACATGACATTTTTCCATTTACAGCCCAATTCCAAACCATGAACATTGGTACTTTAGGCCAGCCAAATGTGGTCGCAATACAGCATCAAGGTAGAATATTAATAGAGAAGATAATAAATGATTATAAAGATATTTATTTCCTTAAAAATGGACATGTTTTAGATATTATACAACATCCACAAAGTAATGTTGTAACATTACCTGCAACAATTCTTACGGCTACTGTAGCTGGTACTCCAGGTCCTAGTGTGTCAGTTCCTCCTCCAGGAGTACATATACCGCCTCATACTGGACCCTTAGTTCCACCTCCGCAAGCTCAGGTATATGATTAGGTTGAAATTTTGTGATATCATATAAAGCTGCTTGATAAAGATAAATTTTATAATACAAATGAATATTTTTATTGAAGGAAATACAAACTTTTATGCCACCACCACCTGTTGGACAAGTACAATTAATCGGTCCTCCGTCAACAGTAAGTCAAGTGCAATATCAGATACATCCTGGCCAGCCATTACAAATCCAAGGTATTCAACCAGGATCTCAGTCCTCGCCACAACCTGTAGCGCAAATGTATGTTATGAGTCAACCACCGCCGCAGAGTGCTCCACAATCGAGTTTCATGACAAGCAGCAATGCGCCCGTGAGCGGAGCAGTGTCGTATGTGTATACGCAGCCTAATGTACAGAGGCCTGCTACGCCATCCCAAGGAATTATCGAGACTGTTAATGTCAATTTGCAACAACCTCCACCCGCGGCGCCGCTCAATATAACACAACAACCGCCACCGCCATTGCTACATCTTCATTTCCCACCGCCAAATTTCCCTCCAAATCAACCGCCTCCTCCCGTTCCACAAACCTACCAGATACAATATCAGCAGGTGCAGGCACCCGCGACACAGTCGCAAACGCAGTTTGTTTTGCAACCTGGTGAGCATATCGTTCCGCCTCAGTTACAACAGAATCATGAGCAATCTCAAGCTGTCCAACATATAATATCTTCGCAATTCGAAGGTCATGCACCGCCATTCCATTTACAAGTACCTCCACCGCCGCCCGCGCAAACTTTTCTAGTATCTAATGCTCAATCTCCCCAACATCATCCACAACCACCGCTTCCACCTGGTAATGAGATTCAGCATCAACAAGAGGGTCCAGTGGAGCAGGGACCGTTGCCGCAACCAGTACCACCTCCACAAATAGTGCCGCCGCCGTCAATCAATCAGATGTCGAATTCTATGAATATTCTTACCAGTGTACCACCACCGACGCAGCCGCCTCCACCGCAGAACGCTCCGTGGCTGTATCAAGCTCAGCAGCCACAGCAAATGCCACAATCACAAGGACAATTGCAGGTAATAACATTAAACATTTTTGTTTTTTTATTATGCGAAATATATCTTTCTTAATTACTTAGATGCAAATGCCATCACAAAATATACCTCTTCATAACATACCTCCACCGCAAGTTCAAGCTCAAATACAATATCATCCTCAACATATACAATATCAGAATGGTCATATACCGACGCAAGTACATTATGCGATGCAACCACCGCATCAACAATTTGAGCAAAAGCCCGATTCGCCGGAACAGCAAAAATCACATGGAGTAAAGAGAAGGTTTTCAGATGTTGAGGGAGGTCAGGTAAGGCGCTATTGGCAAATGTTTGTACATCAAATTGAAATATTCGATGAAAATTAAACAGTATTCGTGTAAATCGTGTAAATCTTTTTTAAAATATATAATACAGGAACCACCACCTCCACCATATCAATGTGCTCCGTTACCTGCGCAACGACACGGCACAGGGTAAGTGGAAAAAAACAAAAATATTATTTTTATCTATAGATAGTTATATATATATATATAATGTATATGTTAATGTAATTTTGATAAAATCACATTATATATTCCTTGTATAAAATAATAAACAATCGCACATTGTGTACTGATGTACATACTATATAGAAGGAATATATAAATTAATGTAACTCTGGTGGTATAATTTTATATATTTAGCTTGCTATACCTTGGTAGGTTGGATGGAAAAGTATTTATGTGCTTGAATAAAGTTGCTCTACCAAGTGTAAAGTTCTAAAATAAATACTACTAAATAAATACTACTAAAGAAGAGTTGATAATTTTCAGAATTATAGGATATTATAGCATAAACGTGCAAAGAATTTAATCAAGGATTAAAAACTCTATCAATATGAAGAAAGAAATCAATAAAGAAACAACTGCTTCAAATCGCTTATGCTTCACTTGTAGGAAATACAAATTTGTAAATTATTAGAATTACATGAAGAAAATGTAAGTTGTTGTTGTTGTTGTCGTTTTCTTACAGAAACCTGCTTTCGCATTATGAGGCGTTGCAATAATATTAAAAGTGAAGAAAATAAAAATTTAAATATTCTTTATGAGATTTTTGTAATAGATATTTTTTATTCACAGATATGTCATTGTTATATTCTCTAAAATCTAATAACTTTAATATATATATATATATATATATATATATATATATATATATATATATATATATATATATATATATATATATATATAGAGATGACTACAGAGTTTAAATAGATGTTTATTGTTATAGATTATTATATAACATTAATGGGAAGTAACACATGGGGAGTAACACATTATTTATGCAAATCATATATTATTTAAATGATATCATCTTTGTTGCAGTGCTCTGAGCAGTGATCAATATTGGAAAAGTTTGGAAGAAATTTGAAAAATATATAATTTTAATGATTATATTTTCTTTGTATCCAGATAGCAAATAACTGTATGGCTTTAAATTTTTAGTGATTGATGAACGGTAACCTAATATATACAAGAATGTAAAAATTGCATTGCTTGCTTTCAGACTCTAATAGCGATTGCCAAATCGCTCTGCTAATTTGGCAATGGTTAATGGCGTGAAATATTGTCCTAATATTTAACTTAGATAAGATTAAACTCGAATTTAGAGAATTAAATTTTTTTTCATTGCTACAGTGATACATCTCAAGCAGAAGATAAAAACCGGCAGCAGTCTTCTTGTAATACAATAGGATACAATTCTAGCAATTGTCTCGTAATTAGATTTGCATTCAAATTCAGAAAAAAAACGTTTAATTTTCCATTTGTGAACATTTGTTCATTGGACCTGTCAAGATTATTTATAATCGTATTCGCGCGTTTCGTTGGACATAGCGAGAAAATTTTCCCATTATTACATTACAATATTTCATCGCATAATTTGCCATATTAAATACGATGTTATATTATGTATAATTAAGAATGTATTGTATTTTTCTTTTTATATCATGTATCTTAATCATTTAGGTGAGAAACGGAACCTTGAACAAAAGCCTGCAGGATTATCTTCAGGTATGGCATATACATATATCGTATATCAAGAAATACTTGTTATGCAATTGTAAATTGTATGATATATTTTGTAAATAGGAAATGAGCAGAATGTGATGGCAGAATCTGGAAATATTCATGTGGGAAACGGGCCACCTTTACCACCTCCATCTTCGCCGCAAGCGCCATGGCAAAGTCACCATGTCAGAGTTCCTTGGGGTAGACCGCCACCGATTCCAAGGGAAGGGGAACCTCCCGCAATCTGTCCCGGATTGCCTCCTATTAACATGCCTCCACCTCAGATCAGGTCACGAGGTAATTTGATTTATTTGATTTATTTATTATGTCAAAATATTTTAAAATAATTAATTCTTGAATTTTAAACGCGTTATATATTTTTCATTGAAATTCTTTATAGCTATATTCATTTTTCCATATAATAAATAATAAAAATTAAAAATAAAAAAATTTATATATTATCGTGATTCTTTTATGTAAAATATATGACAATTTCAAAAACTTCAAGGACGTAGTGGTGCTGTCTTTAGGTCCCGCTGACGGTAATCGCTCTCCCACTCAGAATGCCGCGTTAGAGCAGCCGTTGAATGTCGAGTATAATCAAATGCCGCCCTACACGACGAAACCGCCACCTTACAATCCTCTGATGCAGTCGATCTGCAATCCGCCGCCGCCACCACCACCGCATCATCAACAATCGCGGTCGCAGCATCCTTCACAAACAGTACAGCATTATCAGGTGCCAATCTCACAGACATATCAGCCGCCAACGTCCTGCCCACCGTGGATGAACTGAAAGTCATAAAACTACAGGCAACGTTCTTCCTTACTCCGGTATCTTGACGATGATCTTAAGCGATGTCGTTTCAATGGATAGTGTAATGATAGTGACAATGAAACAACGAGATTCAAACTGCAAGAGTCCGATGTAAAGGCGAATAATTGAAACTACATCATGTTACGATCTTATAATATTTAATAAGGGAGAAGAATATTGAATGCATCATGTAAAAATTTGTAAAAATGTTAAAAATTATTTATAATATACAATTTAAATTCTATATATTAAGAGGATAAGAGAAAGAGAGATAGAGATAGAAGAAGATGTGTAATGTGAGATTACAAATGAAAATAACGCCACGTTGGCGAGTTACTTATTCATTGCAAAGCTCATCTTGGTACGCATACCGCGTGATTTTTGTATGTACAACTTATGTATACATATAATCTAGTGAGAAAAAGATAAGTGTTATTATTTTGATCGAGACGCGTTCGAAAATCACTTGTTTTGCATTCGCAAGCAAATAATCACGTTATGCGTTTCCTCTCGACGAAATTACATCATCTCTCCATTTATCTTTAAGTATGTAACTCATATAACGATGTATGTGATTTTTTTTATGAAAAAAATCAATAATAAATCGTTATTGCCAATTAAATAGACACTTTTATGTCAATAAAGCCTTTGCCTATCGTTGCGTCTCTCGTATGCGGAATGATCTAACGTTTTCCGCATCGACGCCATTTGGCAAACAGCGGTAAAACCGCACCGTTTCCATTTGCAGCGAGCGATCGTCGCAATTAGCCCTGTTAAATGCCGCCAGGTTGACGGGAGGAAGGGTAGCAGCAGCAGTGCAGCAGCACATACAACGATGATCAAATTCTGAGCGTCCCTTCCAGGATAGATGAGGAATGACAGAGAGCAAAATTCCGCTCGATACAAATTCGATAAAGCCGCAGAACTGGCTCGTTATTCGAATCCGGCAGTCTGTTAGCCGCTACGTCAGAAAACTTGCGGCTCTCGTCGAGTTACGCGGCCACGTTTCCGATACTTTGGGGAAGTTTAATTTGCTGGACAGCGGGACGCACTGTATAGCCGTCATCGTGGTGAATTCCTTCTCCGGAAGTGAAAGATCGAGAGGGAATTTTTGCGGCGCAGCTCAAAACGCCGCTATTAATTTTCAAGGAGTTCAATGCCCCGCTTGAAACTCGGGAGATGATAAAGAGAACGGTTTCAATTTAAAATTTGATGCATATTTTATATTAAATATAATATTTTTAATTTATATATAATTTTTAAATAGTAATATTTAAATAGTATTAATTATTTCGAGATAAAAATCTCAAATGTTCGCATCAAACGTGAAACATCTCGCATAGAGAAATGAACTTTAAACGTCGTCATGTGGATTGGACGAAGCTAACGCGAACGACTGTACTACGCGCGTATGAATTGACAAATTACACGCGTCAATTGGGATATTGATCGGTAACCTTTCTCCACGCGTGAAATATTTCGTGCTTCGTTGGGCAACAGGCTGCGGAGGCTGTATCCCGACTATTCCGAATTTCCAGAATCGATCGTAATCAGGGTCACCGCCTGAACCGGTTACCACATCACAGGGATGCTCGTAGCGACCATAATCGCTTTTCGGTAATGTCGCTTTGTCCGTCGTCGTCTCATCAGCTTGTCGCAGCGGCGATCGCTTTTCGACGTGCCCGCCGCAAATTTCCGAAGGACTTCGGCCTCGAGAGCACCGTTGAACGTGCATCCCTCAATACAAAGGTTTATACGCAGATGCATCCACGGTGAAGGAAAGGCTGATTATTTTTTTTTTTTGTAGACATACATAATTGTGTGAATAAAAAAAAAAAATTAATGACGTTTTAAGGTGTCCTTAAACTTGTCGTAGACCGGATTCCGTTTCCTTCCGAGTTTCGCGTCATGATTTCACGTCGGCTGTATCGAGAACGATTTATTAACGCTTCTGACGGATGCGCCTTTCCAGAGCACGCAGGAAACCGCGACGTGCCGCGAAGGGCTCATCAATCAAGCGAGATCGAGCTCCACGCTGAACGTGAAACGGGCGTGCAACTTGAGATCTAATCACGTTTGTCCGACGAGTGTGCGGAACCGCGATTATGAGCGTTCCTGGAGCAAGGAGAGCTCGATCAGCTGCAGTTGCTGTCGGACACGAAACATCGGCGAGGACATATCGGAGCTGCGGAACGAGTGCAGCGGCGGAGATGCGGTCGATACCGTGCCGAGCAGAGAGTGCGAGGAGTCCACGTCATCAGATGCCGATCATAAAAACGGATTTGCAAAACCGGTCGAGCCGGACAGGTTTTCCTCCGCTACTTCTCGCTTTCATGATTCTCTTCGGCAATCGGATTAAAAATCCTATTTATCATACGTGCGTATTACAAAAGAATACGCTTCGAGAATAATCCTTATTGGATCGAAGAAGACGGATGTTTTATCTCTTAAAATTTTGCTTGAAAAGGCGAAGCGCTATAACATGTTTCACATTTCGTACCGCGGAAAGATCTCTAATAATTCATATTGGATCTTTAGTTCAGATTGTTCAATGTTTTTATAAAAAGAAACAATCATAGAAAGAATAACTTTACTGAAAGATTAAAAAAATTTAAATATAGATCTGAAAATCATTTTGTTGAGCCATCAAAATTATTATCTGGGATGTTATCTGGGATAATAACGATTAAACGTTGCAAAGTTTTTTGATACTCTATCAACCAACCCAATTTGAATATCCCACATTATTTCAATTAGCTAAACTTTTTGATACTTTAGTAAAACTATTGTTTCCATGCATATTTCTCGAAATTATCATGTACAATGTAATTTTGGTATCAGGAGTCATTGATGAGTTTAGGGGCATAGATGAAGTTATATAAAATCGAAGCGACGCTATGGGACGCATGCTTGCGTAAAATAATTTCTTTTCGCGAATGCAGGTGCGATGTAAGCTCGAGAATGACGGAGGACGGCGAAGCGATCAAAACGACAGAACGGATCCCGCAATCCGCGCGATCAACATTCTACCATCATTGTAAGGAGCGCTGCCAGTCGAGACCGCGCACGAATGTAGATCCCGTAAATCGTCTGCGCGATTCTGTACCTCACGAGAGGCATGACAAGGTCGCGTGCGGCGACTTTACGGGAGATAGAGGCAAGGATTTCGAATCGAGCTGTCACGGAACACCCATCGATCTTGACGTCAACGCGAAGGAGGGTCTCGTTACCAGCGACACTCCGGGCCATGGTCCGGCTGTCGAAGACACGTGGATGAGGGCGAGTACCTCGGCGACTCATCGGAAAATCGTGAATTCGATCTGGCGATGTCGGTGCGAGTGTCATCCACGGGAAGACTCCATTTCGAATCCACCGAGTTTGTCGTGCGATCGTTGCAATAGGTGCCATCATCACCGCCATAATTACCACTGCGATTACCACGATTGCGTCTATCGACATTGCTGCTGGGAGCAACGTGACAATTCGTACATAAGTGCAAAGAGGTAATAACAGATCTTTTTAATATCATAGTCATAATAATCGGAAGAGGAATTTTTATGCATGAAGC